GTGAGGTCGGAGCATTGCCGCGGCAATGCTCAGATCTTGCGAGAGTGAACTCTAGCCCCGCAGGCTAAAGTTCACTCTCCACTGGACCACCAGGGATGGCACATGGCAGCACGGATCCTCCCTCCCTACATAAGGTAAGAAGGGAGGGGGGTATTTACTAATCTGCCCCCACTTCCACAATCCCTCCAAACATACAGCACACACACACATACAGCACCCTCACACACAGTACACAAACAGCACCCACACACATACAGCACACAAACAGCACCCACACACAGCACACAAACAGCACCAACACACATACAGCACACATACAGCACACAAACAGCACCCACACACAGCACCCTCACACACACACACATCCCACACACATCACCCTCACACACAGCACACAAACAGCACCCTCACACATAAACAGCACCCTCAAACACAGCACGCTAATAGCACCCTCACAAACACACACACACACACACACACAGAAACACCCTCACCCACATAGCACACTACCAGCACCCTCACACACACATCATACTAACAGCACCCTCACACACAGCACCCTTACACACATACACACACACACACAGCACCCTCACACACAGACACAGCAGTGTATGTGTGTGTGTATTTAGGATTAGTCAGACTCTTATGGATCTTTGGGATATGATAACACACTGGTATCATAGGGTGTTTACACAGTAGGTATCCACATTTACTCTTATTCAAGATAACTTTATCAAATCTACACTGAGTAGATCCTTAAGCTTTTTGTCTAATGGGTTGCCTTATATTTATCCTATAGTTCTTTTTCTTTCAATGGTTACCTTGGGGGTTAATGCTGGAGATTGTTCCTCTCTCCGTGTTTAATCTAAAAAACGGTATCAGTCTTTGTGACATAATTGGCATATTTGCTAGTTAGGGTCTCATGGGCACTGTATGCCCTAAGAAAAAAAATTCAGAAAATGAAGGTGTTACAACATGTGTTTACATGGGGGGAAGGTGGGAGAGAAGAGGTGGGAGGAGAATTAGCCTTTCCATTGGAATGTCCAAGGTTTTTGTGTCTAGGGATATTAAGAAAAGTCCCATGAGTATAATCAACTCAACCTAATTCACATTTCTCAGCCAGGAGGTATCCCACCCCACGTGGGTATTGACATGTACAGCATAATTTATAGTTCTCTGTCTGTGTACATATTTCCATTGGTGTAAATATTTGTAACTATATTTCCTTTGTGCTGCAGTATTTAAGAAAGTTGGGAACTCCAGAATAAAGTTAGTTGTTCCTTCTTGCCGCCAGTGGCGTCTCTAGGATTCAATTTTCGGGGGGGCACATGGAGGGCCAGGGACAAAAGTAGGGGGGCAAATTTAACCCCGCCCTCGCCGCAGTTTGACCCCGCCCCTGTCACATGTTAAGCCATGCCCCCGACACAATGTGTTTTGTTTCTTTAATAATACCTGGTGGAGAATTCATTATTTTCCACCAGGGATTATTAAAAAAACAAACACATTATCCTTGATACAGTGCCATAGTTGCCAACATTTGAAAAAAAAATTCCAAGGACATTTTGCAGCACAGCTATCAATTACTGTCTGGGTATAATATCCCTGGACAGTCAGTGCTCTCTGTATAATACAGGGTTGTGTGTATAATAAATTGGGACACTCAGTGCTCCCTGTATAGTGCTGCTCTCTGTATAATACAGGTCTGTTTGTGTATAATATCCCAAGACAGAGAGCAGCACTATACAGGGAGCACTGACTGTCCCGGGATATTATACAGGCACAGGCCTGTATTATACAGAGAGCAGCACTATACAGGAAGCACTGACTATCCCGGGATATTATATACACACAGATCTGTATTATACAGATAGCTGAGCATATACCCCATGTCCCAATCTCTAGACTACTAGTACCTGTCAACAGCAGCTCCCAGACGCGTGTAACAGGGCTAAAGTGTGCGGCAGCTCACACAGATGATTCAGCGGTAAAGTGCACTCGCTGGCAGAGGCAAACTGGGAATCCCTGGGAATCCAAAGCAGCCCTGGAAAAAAAATGTATGCCATTCCTACCAGTCAAAATAAATATATATATATATATATATATATATACATATATATATATATATATATATAGTACAGTAAGCACACAAGCTCACTGACATGCGCAAATAGGCTTACTGACAGACAAAACTCTCTGACTCACACACAAGCTTACTACAGACACTCACTTGTATAAACAGGAGGCTCACTACAAAGAAGTTCAGGGACACACACAAGCTCACTAAAGACAAGCTCACTGACACACACATACTCACTAAATAGAAGCTCACTGACACACACAAGCAGTACCATTTTAACAGAGTTAAGGGCCCCTGGGCAAAGCAATGCACTGGGGCCCTTCCTACACAACAACTCACAGGAATTTTAATTATTGATAGACTGCTGTGTCTACACACAGACTGCTGAGTCCATACACACACACACACAGACTGCTGAGTCCATACACACACACACTGCTGAGTCCATACACACACACACACAGACTGCTGAGTCAATACACACACACTGCTGAGTCAATACACACACACTGCTGAGTCCATACACACACACAGACTGCTGAGTCCATACACACGCACACAGACTGCTGAGTCCATACACACACACACAGACTCTGCTGAGTCCATACACATGCACACAGACTGCTGAGTCCATACACACGCACACAGACTGCTGAGTCCATAAACACGCACACAGACTGCTGAGTCCATACACACACTCAGACTCTGCTGAGTCCATACACACACACAGACTCTGCTGAGTCCATACACACACAGACTGCTGAGTCCATATACACACACAGACTGCTGAGTAAATACACACACACATAGACTGCTGAGTCCACACACACACACGCACACAGACTGCTGAGTAAATACACACACACACAAACTGCTGAGTCCATACACACACACACACACACACAGACTGCTGAGTCCATACACACGCACACAGACTGCTGAGTCCATACACACGCACACCGACTGCTGAGTCCATACACACGCAAACCGACTGCTGAGTCCATACATACGCAAACCGACTGCTGAGTCCATACACATGCACACAGACTGCTGAGTCCATACACACGCACACAGACTCTGCTGAGTCCAAACACACGCACACAGACTCTGCTGAGTCCATACACACGCACACAGACTCTGCTGAGTCCAAACACACGCACACAGACTCTGCTGAGTCCATACACACGCACACAGACTCTACTGAGTCCATACACACGCACACAGATTGCTGAGTCCATACACACACATACTGCTGAGTCCATACACACACAGACTGCTGAGTCCATACACACACACAGACTGCTGAGTCCATACACACACACACAAACTGCTGAGTCCATACACACGAACAGACTGCTGAGTCCATACACACACACACAGACTGCTGAGTCCATACACACACACACAGACTGCTGAGTCCATACACACATATACACACACACAGTCCATGCACACACAGACTGCCAAGTCCATACACACACAGACTGCTGAGTCCATACACACACACACA